CGAGATGGCACTAGATCTGATCTAGTATTTTTATCGGCACTAAATCTGAATAGAGTATTTGCATCAGTAAACAAGAGGCCAATTATGTGGCTTGAAAATTGCTTAAAGCCACAAGCCCGGTAGTTCTCCGAATTCCTAGGCCCGTAGGCTACCCACAGTGATAAAAATGCTTCGGATGACAAACCACAATTTCCGCGGAAAATGAATTGGTCAGACAACATCTTCGCCTGGAGGCTCTAATCTATTGAAGACCCTATGTCAATGCCACAGCTCGTATTTTAGTCTAATCTTTGCACAAGTAAGATTTTAATCTTGTCCGATTTCATCCGTTTCAGCAATACTGAGAAGAGTTTATTATCCAGGGCAGGCAGTATGTCTCGTATATAAAGAAAGGATACTATTAAGAATAGTAGTAGTAGTAGTAGTAGTGGAAGAGGTAGTTCTTAGCTGATGTGTATACTATCTATTAATAGTTAAGAGGGCAGTGCTATAGTGTGCGCTTTTACGATATTTTCAAATCTCGAAACATGATTTAGACGGCTAAAACTAAAGTTCACAATCAAAGTGACTTACTATACGCCACAACCAACTGTATGATGGATCTTATGTTCACAGGAGCAATAAACGAAGACTTTCTCAAGCCATTGGGCTTAGATTTGTTGCTGAAGAACAAACAGTCCATATTATACCTAGAAGGAAAAAGCACTAAAGGACACAAGGAAGATGCTATAAAGAGTGACTATGCAAAAGAAATCCTTAAGACCCTATGGCAATTCACATTCCGTAACAGATTAGCTCAACGTAGTGTCTCTCCAGCGGTACATTGTTTACATAACTCCCCCCTCTTTCTCTCACTCCTCTTCTTCTTCCGCCTCCTCCTCCTCCTCCTCCTCCTCCTCCTCACACATATCTGCTGATTGATATCTCCTCCGCCAAGCCCGCCGTGGCAAGTTGACGGCGCAAATTTCAGCTTCCCTTCGCCATTTCTCCAAAACTACTACGAGTCCTACCGTCTGCCTATGATTTTGTCCCAATTCTGCCTTGTGCACTGACAGACAGCTCTCCATGAGACGTATTGCAACGTCTAGTTTTCCCAAATCTCTGCAAATATTAGCAAGTAAGATCATGCTTGAAATGATATCCGGGTGGTCGACCCTTAACACCCCTCTTTGTAATTCAAGTATTTGTAACATCAAGTCTTCCGCCATTTTGAACTGGCCTCGAGCGCAGTATCTTCTCGCGCGATCTTGCATGCTCATCAGAGTACGCGGGTGATTGACTCCCAGAAAAATGCTCCTTAGCTCAAGCGTTCGCTTCTCTAAATTTTCTGCTTCTTCAATCCGCCTTTGGGAGCGATATACGTTTGCAAGGGTACCCATACTATCAAGCGTGTGAATATTGCCCCCTCCCAACACTTCTGTTCTTAGCTCGAATGCATAACAAAGTAAGAATTCTGCCTCTGTTAACCGATATTGATGCAGATATAATACTCCAAGGCTGTGTATACTGTCGAGCGTCCAAGGGTGCTCATTCCCTAGCACCCTCTGTTTTAATTCAAGTGCGCGTTTGTTTAAAATTTCTGCCTCTGTTAATCGGCCACGTCTAAAGTGTACGTTGGCAAGGTGCATAATTCGTTCGAGCGTGTTTGGGTGTTCTCTCCCAAGCCGTAGTTGAGTCATATGCAATAGCTGTTCCTCTAACTCTTGTAAAATTTCATTATAGTGGCCGTTGCTGGAGAGGTATAATATCATTTGACGCAGAAGCGACGCTCGGGTTACATAACCAGCTTCTGAGTTACTTTCCCCTTTCCCTAGAACACAATCGGCATGAGGAAGATATTTTAGGAATGTTCTATAACTTTCGGTTGGAAAATTGGCTGATAAGACCATCATAGCACGTCGAACGTATTCAGCCATTCGATTTTTGGCAATGAGCCACTTCTGTATCACTAGCTGCACGAGACGATGCATGTTTATATCTTGATCTGTTCCCTCAGATATAACATAATAGGCTTTAAGATAACCTAGTGCATTTGAAAGAGCAAATGAATTACTACTTCCATTCTCAACTAAGCGTAGCGAAAGATAGTAGTGTTCAATGAGGTGCTTTGGAATGGCCTGATAATGCAAGACACTGAGGAAAGACAAAATGTCGCTTGCTAACATATTGTCTCTCTCGATTTTCTCTAACGAAATGACCCAGTTTGCCGCGACTGCATGTGGCGTCCTAGAGTCTCTTCCCACAGTTTCAAATGCTTCGCTTAACTGATCAATGAATGCAGAGTCTCCCTTATCTAAGCGCTCGATATAGTCGCGTATAGTTGTGCAGCTCTTTTGAATAAATGATGCTGCTTGTGCAAGCGCAAGCGGCAAATGTTCAAGTTTGGAGGAGAGAGCAGCTATTTCTCTTGAGGAGAATGCGCCGGGTAAAATGGCTTTCACAAGGTGGTGGGCTTCGCTGGCAGTCATGTTGGGGACTTCAATGGGGACTCCTCCCTGGCATAGGTCGACTGCCGTTTGTTTATTTCTCGTGGTAAATAAAAGCCAGCCATTGTTGGAAACTGGTAAGTATTGAGCTAAGCCGTTGTCTTCGCCGGCTAATTGTGTCTCCATGGCTGGAATATCCTTCTCTCTCTGAGAAGGGAAAAATAGCTCCTTATCATCGGCGCTGTCAACTATCATGAGCCACCGCGAATTGCTCTGCGCTTCTAGCCAATTTTTAACGAGCAATAAAACGTTTGCTTCGGGGTCATCAATTCCAGGCACATTGCATTTTTCAGCAATCGAAGTATAGGCCTCTCGGAAGTGATGGGCATCGCTGGCAGGAACCCAAAATATCGAAACATTTGGGCTCGTTACCTGGAGCCAATATGCGAAAGCTATTGCTATTTGTGTTTTTCTATAGTCTATTAGGACTGATAAGTCATTAATATGAGCAAAACGTACCCGGTGCCGCCAAGACCACAGAGTGAAACCCTTGTACGCGGCTGAGAAAGCCCCTCATAACCGCCCAGGCCGAAATGATACTTAATCTCATTTTGAATTTTAGGCCTATTAATAAAATCTGGATTTGGTGTATACGGGACGAGAACTAGAACTATTATAAGCAAAGATCGCGGCTGTACTATTGATTACATACACTTTGCTGTTTCTTCTTGCGGTTGATCTCCCACCGCGAGAGCCCTCTTGGATAGACTCCTCATTCTCTCTCTGACGTTCTTATATGCAGTATCGTAACGTCCAAATTTCACGATCCTTGAATGTGTGCGAGCAATGGCGCAAATGTGTTCTGGGCCGTCTTCCCACGGGCGGCAATGTGTCGCCGAGGACTTGGTAACTAGAATTGCGGCAGGTCCAGTGTTTGTCCAGCGCCCAGACTCGTCCTACGTCTTATGATTAGTTGACTGACAGATATGTCATGATATCTTGAGGGAAAAAAAACATACCTGAACTGCTGTTGGAGATTCTAAAGTTTCATAAAAACAGAAAACCTCTGATTGCTTCTGCCCCTCTAAAGCGCTGCAAAAGTCCCTTTGTTGAATACTTAGTACCTGAGAATTGCGGCTGATAGATTCTAACAGAAATCGATTTGGTCCGTCGCCAGCCATGGAAATGAGTGCCCTTATATCCATGCCATCGTGTGGAGAGCCAAAGAAGACAACGCCATATACGGCACTGAGAAATTCTTTGTCTTGTTGGAATTCCGATCTCGACAGACATATTAACAGCTATAACACACGATATTAAAATAGAGCTTCTTGAATATACTACGCACGTTACTTACCTGCTTGATGATCAGTCCTCCGAGACTGTGCCCGATGAAGATGATTGGCTTGAGCGTTGAACCGGTTGCTATTGCGAGTAAGCTATTATGGAATGCAGTGGCCAAGTCTTCCAAATTTTGCGTGTTGTTGCTGTTCACAACATCTGATTCATAACCGTATATCATTATTCTCGCCATTGGTTTATTCGTAGTCTCTGAGGTAAGATCATATGGAAGGGAGTCACGCAGCCACATGTGGGGCCCTTTCCTTTGTCTGAACGATCCGAACGCGTGACTTCCGAGACCAGATAATGCGATAATACTACATGTACGTGGAAAACTTAGTGGATGATTTAGAGAACCGGGCATAACACCTACTCTATCTTGTGGTCGCGTGGAGGCGGGGCAAAAAGTGTTGTTAAGCCGTAGAAGTCTTTGTCGATGTTCAGGCATCGTTCAGCAGCAAACTCAGCATAGGACGTGTCTGGTACAATGATGTCCCAATTGGGATGATTTTGAAGCTGTGGGGGCAAATTTTGGAAGACGATTGTGGCTGATTGGTATTGTTCACCAGCTTCAGTAGCGAGTGACTTGATGGACATATTCAGACCATTTACTTGATTCATTATGAGGTGTTGCAGTTGTTCGCTGCCCCAGTTAGCCGGCACCCCGCGAACTCGGAATGTATTGTTCTCGGAGTGCGATTCTTTGTTTGTGTCGTCAGCCGCCGGATTTGAGCTTCGATGAGCCATATCAAGTCTCATGATTTTCTTTTAAGACGGGTGCTAGTTGGAAGTATTCGAGTGTGACTGTTACATGTATTGGACAAACTTTGATGCTGAGCAGAAAAGCTACAAGTCTTGCACTTAGCGAGAGAATATAACATGGCTGGTGGTTTCACAGGGAGGTAACCAGCATTTGTTTTATTCTCCTCCTTTATGCAGGATGAGCCAAAATAAGAAGCTTCACGGAGTACAAGGACCACGGAGGTTTCAGCGGCCTAGCGATCTTCGGAGATGAGAGCTGATGCAGTCTTTAGAAGCCATATTCAAGTTCATCAGACGTCATCCACCTTGCAACATATCATCGTAGAGATTTACTTCTCCCTTCACCCTTTTCTTAATCGCACACCTGGAATTTTTCGCTATGCTGAACGAAGGCATCGCGGTCTGCTTTGAGGTCTCTCCCCTCGCGCGTGTAACTTTCATAAGTAGACTATTGCGGCCTGTTTCCAACTAGCGGCCTTAGCTCAGCTGGGAGAGCGTCAGACTGAAGCCTCAACTTCAAGTCACTTGATATCTGAAGGTCGTGTGTTCGATCCACACAGGCCGCAGTTTTTTTGCCCTTTTTCACTAAAAATGGCATCCAATTTTTTTTATCAGAACAGGAGCAGTGTTGTATTTCGCTTGTTGATTGATGTCTCTTTCTTTTTCCTCTCTTTTCCATCTGGTTTGTCCATTCGTCACTTTCCCAGCGTTGATTCTGGCACCTACTAGCAATTGCCTACGAATATAGAGAGATGCGCAACATCCATACTTGAATAAAAAGATATAAGATGATTTGCATAAAGAGATAAAATGCTTTATGTTTAAATCCCGCAAATCTTGCGTGATATATATCGCACGTACGAAATACTCCAGATGTATATTGATAACAAGCGCCTCCTACCCCGCCAAATATGTGTACGCGAAAGCCAAACGCCCAAGAACAAAATGCAACCCAATGAATGATACTCCGCAGCATCTATCTATCCTCTAGGATAAACAGCCGAACTCCGGGACAAGAACCACTATATACGCACGCTAAATCTCTTCTCCGATGCAAGACGACTTCGGAATCTACCCGCTCTTGTCTACCTACAACTCTGCCCGTCCATCAGATCGTTCAAGTTTATAAGTCGTCATTACAACCGCGTGATCTGACGTCCATTCGTTGTTCTGATGATTTGGCTCTGCGGCGGGCTCGCCGGCGACGAGCGTTTCCGACTGAAGTACCTTGAGGCTCTGGCCCTTGTGGTAGACGAAATCAATGCGATCTAGCGGCTCGGGTCGACCATTGTTATCGAGGTAAATGGGGGACCAAGTGATGCCGGGCTCCGCGTTAGGGTCGGGGTGAGCCTCGCGGAATGAGTCAATCAGGCCCGACTGGATGGGAAACTCGGAGCTTGGCCAGGGAACAAAGCCATAACCACAGTGCGCCTTCTTCGTTGCTTCTGTCCAGTCCAAGTGAGATGGCGCATTGAAATCGCCAGTCAGGATGACGGGGATATCGTCAGCCTCGGATAGAGCATCTTGCATGGCACTGACAATTTCCATGATTTGCGGAGTGCGTCGAGATTCGTACTCCCGGTTGAGGACTTGGGCCAGAGGCATGTGCTCGTAGCAAAAGTCGTAAGGACCATAAGGATCAAATCCCAGATGAACATTCCACATTATAAGCTGACTCTCACGACCGTCCAGCTCGATGCGAATGGATCCGCCGGCAGATTGTTCTGGGAACGTCTCTACGATGGGGTAACGACTGATGATGCCAACTTCGTTGGGGCTCTGCCAGTAATACCACCCGAGCGCTTGAGCAAGACGAGTTGCTTGGCCATTCCAGCTCTCTTGAACACCGACAATGTCGACATTTGTGTTGATGAGAAAGCGGATCTGCTTGTTGTGATAGTCTTTCACATTTGTGCCGCCAAACCACATGTTGTACGACATGACCTTTATTTCCTCAACGAGCGGCTCGCCGGACTCCCGCACTGGGATTTGGACTTTGATCGTCGCAGAAGATCCATCGCTGGCAGTCGCCTTGACAACCAAGTTTGTGTCTTTATCCTTCTTTCCAGGGGTGCCAGAGATGGTTCCGTCCTTGGAGACATTCACCCAGTCGGTGCCATAGCTGGTGACCTTGGTGAACTTGGTGTCGTTGTCCTTGGGATTAGCAATGAGGCGGCCGAGCTTTGCTTTGAAGGCGCTTCCTTGTCGGGCATTCTGGGTGATGATCCGATCGGTGACGAATTTAATGGGGCCAGAGCCAGGGATAATGACGTCGAGAGGCTTCGAAAGCCACTGGTAGCCGCTCTTTGCCAGGAAATAAGCCCTGTAAAAGCCTGGAGAGAGATTTGAGACATCGACCACCACCTCGCCCGTCGCATCGGGCGCATACGACCAGTCCAGCGAACCAGCGACGAATTCTTGGTCGACAGGACCGCCATAGTATGAATGATACACTGCGATCCAATTCGTGGGGTCCGGGTTCGGCGTCGAGTACTTGAATGTGAAGAGCGACTGGCCGACGTCGAGGGAGAGTGTCCCGGGAGGGGAAACGGCATCGCGCGGTGACATGATGGCGGCAGCCGACGATGGCGATGCGGTGAAAAAGAGCGAAATGGCAGCGGTCGCCGCCGGAAACAATGAAGGGAACCTCATGGTTTTTGGCTGTATGTAGGGAGCGCAATATGGAGAATATCGAGCATTTAATTCTCTCACTGGGCCGCAGATCAGGCAGATCAACTGCGGAACCTGTCGGGAAGAAGGAGAGAGAGAGAGAGACAAAGAGGTCTCGCACGCGATGAAGCCGATGTTAGTGGGAAGAAGTCTGCGGCGATCTCTTTATACGGAGCCGCCGGGCAGGGCCCAGCAGCCACATCATGAAACGCAGCGTGATGGCGTCGTTACTTCATCGTCATGGCCCTTCCTCGTCTCCATCCATTTTAGCGTCACGAGTGTCTCGTCGTTAGTGGCATCCAGTCAAGGCCAGGCGCTCCCTGCGCATCCATGTTAGCGCACGTTAGGGGCCTTGAGATGCCTCCCAGATTGCGCGCTATCGGTGCTAGAGCGCCCTACAACGATGCGGGGCCACGACGGCGATATAGCGGTTGGGAGGGGAATTCTCCGCGGGACGTGGGGTGATACACGTACTACTTGTACGTAGTGGGAGACGTGGCCCTTGCTGGCGCTAAACAGCCGTCGAGGACGTGAAAGTTGAGCCGGTCGTTGTGGCACGAGCTCCTCTGGCGGTCGCTGGGAGAGTGCCTCATGATTCGGCTTTTGGTTTCGCGTGATGGTCTTTGATGTTGATTATGTGTGTGTCTCGCATTTGTTCCATTTTGCTTCGATTGACTTTTTTTTTTTAAAGGCTTAGAGCAAACAACTTTATTTTTATTTTATTTTATTTTATTTTTTAAAGTTAAGTCTTTTTTCTTGCCGCGGCGTTTCATGTCAGTCAATGGTGGAGGTCTTTGAAGCTGACCGCTTCAAGACAAGGCGCTTAATCGTCGACAGCCAGTAGAGCATGTATTGGCGCCAGATGCGCAACATTAATACATCTGATAACATGTTTGTAGGCTCTCAAGGACGCAACTTTACGGTCCCAAGACCACCTCGCTAGCTCACCCATCTGCATGTACCTGACCGAGTCGCTACTCGGCCGGAGGCATCGCGATGTAACCTCAAAGGACATGCAGCTGATTCCGTCACCAGGCTGCCGTTATTATAAGTTTATATATTCATTATGCATCATGATGCTCGAAGATGTCAAACTATGAACCAGTGATGTATTTGGCACGAGGCTATGGCCGAGTGACTGTCCACACACAGACGATATCAGCTTGAGGTCTCTTTTTGATGACTGCATGTAGGGTTGATGAGTTCAGTCTTCAACAATATTCTCGAATGTCCTGTCGCAAATGTTCTGAAAACTTGCATATATTCTTTGGATCATAAGGTGACTAAAGGGGATAGATCTTACGTGGATACAAGGCGAGTGTACATTAATATACCACAATATCAAGTCTGAGTCACTTAGCAGCGCTGTATCTCACAAGATGGTATTCTATACAAGTCTCTATTTTGTCTCTAGATGAGCTAAACTGTACCATGTAGAACCATATACTATGCTAAAATTACTAATGAAGCAGCTCTATATCACGATACTATAGTAAAACTGCGATGGATGTATTTAAATTATGAATGCAGTTTTTACATGCGTATTAAGTCTCTAGTGTAAATATTTCTTACTAGGCGCTGGCATTCCTTTCTGCTGAATGGATATATGGAGGACTGTTTAAATGAGATCCCTACGTGCTCGAGTTCCGTATATGTCCTAGCAACAACAACGGACTGCAATTTCTAGATACGCCGCAAAGTTAAAGCTTTTCTAAGGGTACGTGTCGATGTATATTTATTCTTTCATGTTATACTATCGGGTAGTGTCCCTTTAACATACCATTTGCTATATATAACAGCAATGCGATAATGCCCCCCTCCCCCTTTATGCCCACCGCGCAAGTCTCTTCCTTAATGTATGTGAGAAGTATGGAAATGTGTATCATTAAAATACATTCTATTTATAATCATAGTCACCACGGCGTGTACACACGCGATGTATTATCAAGTCTCTTTCCCACAGCTTTCTCGGATGAAGTCAAAGAGGTCACGAGGTTGTTAATAATAGGAATTACGACATTTGAACAATTCATACCGAATACGGCAAAAGAAAAACGATTGGGTTTTATTCTAATTCGTTCAAATTCCCCTAGCCGAAAGCTTCAATGAGCTTTGTGTCTCTCGATGAGACCCCGCCAAACGAATGTCATTCATTGCAGCAACAATGGAGCACAGTAGGAATGCCACGGATCGGCACCAGCCGAGACCCAGTTTGGCATACAGTCTTCGCCATTCATTGAGACTGTATCGCCTGACAGCTGGTGATGGCTGCGCCTTCAACGCGGGGTATTGCCGTTCAAAATCGAGCTTTTAGGGTTGATAGCTCTCATCATGACGTTGATGGCATCGGACGATCACAGCTGTACACATATGACGAAACTCTCTTTGGCAGCTTTCTAGACAGCTATAAGAAAGCTAGTTTTCCTCCTCGCCACTTCTTTGTGAGCTTATTTTCTAAAAATCTCTCCTACTTGCAGTTGAATATATTACATAACTGAGACTCTATTATACTCCACCATGAATACCACGGGCGGATATACAGACGAGGCGGCGATTGAGACGCACGACCTCATTCATGATGCCGAGCTTGAGGAGCAACGCGTATGTAGAATCATTTTTTATTATTTCTATCGATGGAAATGTCACTAATCATTATTTCTGTTTAGTCACATGGCGATCATGCATTGACCCAGCCCGATATGGGCGAGGACCCCATCGAGGCAACGAAACAAACCGAGACTGGACAACAGAAACAGGGTCGCCATTCAACGATGGACAAGGTCAAGGAGGCGCTGCATTTTAAGAAATAAAGAAATGAAAATAAAGTAAAATTTAAAGAGAGAAAGGAGAGAAAAAAAAAATTGAGTATTGATTTGATACTGCCCAAAGCCGGAAA